GCTGGATCAGAACCAGGTCTGGATTGAGCTGGATCAGAACCAGGTCTGGATGGAACTGGATCGGAACCAGGATCAGAGTGATCTGTTCCAGGTTCATTAAGATCATTAATCCTATAGTTAGAAAATGATCCTGCTTCTCTGGTCCTTCCTTCCAGCAAGATGGTGGCTGTTGGCGACTGAAGCAGACCGCAGGGGGCGCTGCCACTGGCTCATCCATCAGCAGAGGGTTAGAAGGAAATGTTGGAGGAGATTTGTGAAAGCCAGGGGTGGAAATATCAAAGCCAGCAGGCGTTGTGTGTGTGGGTGAAATCTGTTTCAATCAGTCAGGGCGGCGTTGGCTGAAAAGGTCAGACAGCAGCTGCAGAGCAGGGAGGCTTTTACAGCAGCAAGACGTCACATCTGAGCTGAACTCAGAGGAAGGAGAGGAAGGAGGCGCAGTGAACTCCCAGGAGGTTTCTGCTCAACAACCAGGAGACCAAACCTGCTGCAGGAACCAAAGGCCTCTCCTCCACCTGGACCCACCCACAGCGGCTCCGCACAGTTGGACCCTCTGCTCTGTGATGTAGAACCAGAACTATTCTGGTTTCTGCTCGATGGAGTTCATGTTGAGGCTAAACAGTTGTTATCCATTAGCTAGCATTAGCATCAGGTGGTCACATTATGGACCAATGAAGCCCAGCAGAACTCCCACCCCTTTCACAAGCTCCTGGTCACAGTGGAGAGAAACAGTTCTCTGAATGGACAGAACCTCTGGCTGAACAGAACCAGGGTCCATAGGTCTGAGAGAAACTCGTCTGGCCCGACAGCAACGCCTGCTCAGAACTAAAGTCCAGCACTGAACTGATTCTGACAAGTTAGAGCTGGTTTAAACTGGTTAGAACTGGTTTTAACTGATTTGAACTGGTTTTAACTGGTTAGAACCTGTTCTGACGTATAATCAGTGTCCATTACAGACACATCCATCCCCCAGGGACATGTCCATCCCACAAAGACGTGTCCATCCCCCCGGGACATGTCCTTTCCACAAAGACACATCCATCCCCCAGGGACATGTCCATCCCACAAAGACGTGTCCATCCCCCCGGGACATGTCCTTCCCACAAAGACGTGTCCATCCCCTAGGGACATGTCCATCCCACAAAGACGTGTCCATCCCCTAGGGACATGTCCTTCCCACAAAGACGTGTCCATCCCCCAGGGACATGTCCATCCCACAAAGGCGCGTCCATCCCCCAGGGACATGTCCATCCCACAAAGGCACGTCCATCCCCCAGGGACATGTCCTTCCCGCAAAGACGTGTCCATCCCCCAGGGACATGTCCATCCACAGCCTAGTGTCTTCCACTCACTCAGAGAAATATGTTCTTTGAGGAATTGAAGGATTTTATGTGATGGATTTCTCTTTCCCCCAGGGGATTATGGGTAATAGGATCCACCTCAGTCCCTTCTCCTCCCTTGAACCCCAACCCCGATTGTTGCCGCGGTGATATCAGTGTGTGTCGGTGTGTGTGTTCCGATGTTGTAGATCTCTGTCTCTTTCATCAAACAATCCAGGAGCAGAAAGTAGCAAGTGCTGCTATTGTGCTCCGCTAAAAGCAGTGTGTGTGTGTGAATAACAGGAAATGTGTGTGCCATCGACCACACAGATGAAAGACGAGAGCGAACAGGCAGAGTATTGTTCTGCACAAACACCTGACCCCCCCCCCCCTCCTTACCCCACATCCCACCCCAGTGAGGCGGTTTCTGTCAAGACAAATTGCTTCATGCTGCTTTCATCCATCATTCTCCCTCTGAGTGGATCTCTGTCTGTCATCTAGAAATACAGAAAATCTCCACTTAGATTGGCCACTCTGTGTGAGAGTCTGAGCTGAATTACATCTTCTCCTGGAACTCATTATTATAGATTTATTTCACAGGAACCCGATTAGCTGAGCAGCAGTTCTACGTGCTGCACGTAAAACACCTGATGAAGTTCATCACATGAGGGAAGAATCTGCGATTAAACGCGGAGACCGACCGATGTTCACATGTTGTTCTTTCTATCTGTCAGACCCAATGCACGGCCCGCGGCGGCTCCAGGTCAGCGACGTTCAGTCCAAACAGGTGACGGTTCGGTGGGAACCGTTTGGATATAATGTAACGCGCTGCCACAGCTACAACCTGACGGTGCAGTACCGCTACCGACCTGCAGGCGCCACCAGCAGGTAAGCAAACGGAAGGAAAGACAAGAAAGAGAACATAATTATCCTTTTCCACGAAGATACTGATGTTAGGTATGGAAATGTTAGCATCACCCGGGGCTAGAATGATAGCAGAGGGCGGGGCTACAATTTGAGCAGAGGGCGGGGCTAGTACGTTGGTAGAGGGTGGAGCTGAAATGTTGGAAGGCGGGGCTAAAATGTTAACAGTTTCCACAGTGGATGGGTCCTGAGGTAATCCATCTCTTCTTCAGGGAGGAGCAGGTGAGGGAGGAGGTGGTGTACGACACCCTCAGCCCGCTGCCGCAGCACACCGTCCGTAACCTTCCACCGTACACCAACGTCAGCCTGAAACTGGTTCTGGGTAACCCAGAGGGATGTAAGGAGAGCGCGGAGCTGCTGGTGCTGACGGATGAGGACGGTATGGTTTAGGTTAGCGTTGGTTTCTGTGTCTGTGCTGCTAAATCACTCTAAACCTTCTGCTTCCAGTTCCTGGAGGCGTTCCGTTGGACTCCATCCTTGGTCGCAGCTATGAGCAGCAGATTAGTCTGAGCTGGAGGGAACCTCTCAACACTTATGGCCTGATCCGGCAGTACGAGGTGAGGCAATCGCTAAGGATTATGGGTAGTGTATCGCTGCTGCTTATTGTGACCTTTCAGATTTAATGAGAGATTGAAGCCTTCCTGTGAAATTGACTCCATTACCCACAACCCCCTGGGAGATGTTTGATTCTCTTCTCCTCCACAGATTTCCTACAAAGCTCTGAGCTCCTTTGACACGGAGTTTGATCTGTCCAATCAGAGCGGGAAGGTGTTCAAACCAGCCAATGAGACCAGCCATGTGTTTTCTGGCCTCTCACCTGGATCCACCTACTCCTTCACAATAAAAGCCTCAACCATTAAAGGCTTCGGGCCCCCAGTCATCACCCAGTTCACCACTAAGATCTCAGGTAAGACCCAGGGCCAAAGATGAAGGGTGGGCAGCGACAGGAACCGTGGGACAGCTATGTTTAATGGAGGCAAGAACTGAACCAGTGGGACCCTCCAGAACCTCGTTCTGGATCACAGAAACCAGGAGGTCCACAGAAACCAGGAGGTCCACAGCATTCCTTAGCCCTGGCTGCTGCAGACGGGCTAAC